ACTAACATTGTCCCACAAAAGGACATTTTAAGAAAAAAGGGCACAGAGCAGGCTTAATAAAGTAAATTCCACTTATCCCCACTTTGTATGAGGAAACTGGGATTCACAGCAGTTAAATAATTTCCCCTAAATCACAAAGATGACAAGTGGCAAAGTTAGATTGGAGCCTTGAACTAACAGACTATAAAATTTGTGCTCTTTCCTGCTTCTTTACAATTAAAATTTTCCAGTTTAAATGTTTTCACTTGAGGTGGGCCATTCTTATTTACAACTTTCTAACCTCAAAGTTACTTCAATGTATATATGTTATTATACAAGTACATGTGCCTTGCTGGGTAATATTAACATAAAAACACACATGTCAGGAAAACAGAAACAAAAACAACCCACAAAACAGCAAAAATTTTATAAATATGGTAATATAATTATATACTGGCCCATGAATGTCATAATTTATAGAAGTTTCCCACCCTATATCCTGAGGCAATAAAATTTGTAATTTCAAGAATCAGAAGCAAATTTTAACTACTTCTTTTTTCCCCTAAAGAATGTGGTTTCTTAGATGGTCACAAGTTGGTCATCTTCTGAAAGTATTATTTTCCTGCCTGTGAAGTCTTTTTCTCTCCTTTTCAATTGTCAATCTTTTGTCCTCCTTCCTAGTCTGGCTCAAACTTTAACCCTTGGCCAAGTTTTTCCCTAGCAACTAATCTACCAGCTCTCTAATTCCTCTGAAGGACTTCATACTATGGTAACAATCATTTGGTGTTTATCATTTACTATGTATTGATTAATACATCTTAATGCACTTACTGACTTCTCAATGAGATCATATCTCTTTAGCAAAGGCCCTTTCTTGTACCACTGGAAAGCCAGGTCAAAGTTTGTTTTTTACATTATAATTTCTGTAAAGCTCACAATTAAAGAAAGGGATTGAGAGGTTTACCTGGAATATTTGCAGAATGTGGTGTTTCTCCATGTATTGTAGTGCAACGTAATAAGGATCTTCATATATTAGAGGAGGAAACTGCTTCCTATAAGATTTGTTGTATGCCTGAGAACTCCTTCTTTCCTGGATTTCTGAACTATCATCCTGAAATAACAATATCCCCCCAAAGGGTCTTTAATAAATCAAAAATCTCCAGGAAGTTTTGTTGTCATTGTTGCTCTGATCAGTGGAAACTGATACTGATGGGATCTGAACACCAGGAATTGGAGTAAAGGCACATTATTATGAGAGACCTGGTTGATCTAATGCACCCCAAGTCCTGGGAGGTACCTTAGACATCTCCAAGCTACTTCAAATACTTTCCCCTTCACAGAGATCTCCAATTGACTCCAAATTCCTTTCCTTTAGTAGAAGCCCAGAGAGGGGAAATGACTTAGTTTCCCAGTGTTAGCAGCAGGACCAGGACTTGAAACCCAGTCTCCTGAATCCTGGTTCATTGATCCTTCCTGAATTGCCTTACTTAGCGTAGCAGAGAAGGCAACACATCTCATTATTTCCCACCCTTCTCCTGTCCTTCCTGAATGCTACTCACAACAGCATGTGCCCTCCCCCCACTCTCCCATGTCACCACTACAGGCCCCTGGCTTGGCCTCTAACTTCCCAGGTGGGTATCAAATGCCCCTTTAACCTACAGGCTTGATTTCTGTGGCTTGAGTTTTTTCCTGATTGATGATGTAATCCAATTTGGATGAAATGGAGGGAAACTTTGGGGAATAGGCTAGGTCTTTTTCTTGCAAGTGATCGATCAATCTGTCATCAAATGGGTTGAATGCTTGCAGATCGGTTACACTTTCGGTGTCAGTTTCAAAGGAAACCTTGGATACGTTGCTGTCTGTCTGGCTAGGCTCAAATTTGCAGGGTTGTACTCTGAAGTCATCTTCTTTGTCTTCCCTGATGTTGCCAAAATATGCAAACATTCTGTTATCAGACTGGCTATGTTCTCCATAGTCAAACATGTTGTCTTCTGTGTAGTCATACTCTTTGTCCATTAAGTCAGATACACTGTGGTCAGCCTTGTCAATTTTAAGGTGGTCAGCAGGGTCAGCAGCTTGGTATTCAGCTGGTTTAGTCACTTGGTCAGACACTTCGCTGGTAGTCCTTACCAATGCTCTGTGGTCAGCATGGACAGACAATCTATGGTCAATCTGTTCAGAAGCTTTTCGCTCAACCAGGCCAGACAATCTACTTTCAATCTGTTGAGTTCTTTGGTCAGTTGGTTGGGACGTTCTGTGGTCAATCTGCTCAGAAGCTATTTGTACAGATGGGACAGATGGTTTACGGTCAGTCTGTTCAGAAGATCTTCTCTCAGCTAGGCTGGACATCCTGTGATCAATCTGTTCTGAAGCCCTTTGTTCAATTTGTTCAGAGGTACCTTGTTCAGGCAGAGCAGACATCTGGCTGTCAACCCCATCAGCTTGGCTAGATGCCTTGCTGTCCATCTGTTCTGACATTCTTCGGTTAACCTGATCAGATGCTCTATCATCGACAACATTAAAATAGTCGGATGCTCTGAGGTCAGCCTGATCAGATGTTCTTTCTCCAACGTGTTCATACAGTTTGGGGTCAGCTTGACTAAATTTGTTGGGTTCAGCCAGGCCAGACACTCCTTGGACAGCCTGGTCAGCTGTTTTGTGATCAGTCTGGTCACCTGTCTCCACTTCATCTTGTTTCTGCCTGTTGTCTTCCTGGCTGTCTGTGTGGCTGTCATTTGAGGACTTGGCTTTGCTTTCGACTTCCAAGGATTCTGCCGGAACTTCTTCTGGAGGCTCTTCCATTTTCTGCCTGGTACCTGACTGCCCTAGGCTGCCAAGCCGCTGTGGGTGGGGCCGAGCCTGGTCGTCCAGGCAACCTTACAGGAGCCCGCGACGACAATGCCTGCGGGCTTTGTTCGAGCCTCCTTGCACCAGTTCTTTCGGGCCCGCGGGCGGATACCTGGAGGTGAGCGGGGCCGCCCGCCGCTGCCTCCAGGCGCAGCCTGGACTGGGGCGCCAGCCACTCGCAGTGTGGATGCCAGCACAGGGGCGGACACCCTTCTCCGGAGAAGAGGTGATGACCAGAGGTGTGGCGTCGCCACCGCCCAGCGACAAGGTCTCAAGGCTCTGTGAATCGGTGCATTAGAGCGGTACCCTCCTTGTTTCCTTGTGGAGGTCCACTGCGGCATGTGTGAAATAAGATCGTTCAGGTATCGCTTTAACCAACAAAATGTTAGCGATGAACACGCGTTCAACCGCACGAGGGCGGCATACCTGAACCGAGGTCACTGTTTCCGTCAATCAAATCCGCGCTTCATCGGCCACCGACTTTTGTCTAATCACAGTTGTGCCGCACAGTATGATATTCGTGCTGGGCACTGTGCTGGTAAATGGTCCTGCTAAATGTTACTCTTCTTAAGAGAATCCGTATTGTAGTTATGTGGCCAAATTCTTCTTTTTTTTTGAATTAAAAAAAATGTTTTAAATCCTGCCTTTACAAACAGTGTTGGTGCTGTTTTTAGTGGTACTAGGAAGGGTTTAGTCCCAATTAACACTCATTACCAAAGTCATACGGATCTTTCTTCACAGTAAGAGTGTAGAGAGAAGGAATTTGCCCTCCTCCCTACCCTCACCCTACACACCCCTTGGCAGTTTATTGCTGCAGGAGCATCCTTTTCTTTGTCTCCAGGGACAGGCGAGCAGCTGTTTTCCATTTCCTCCGGGAAGAGCTATGCTGGCTGTGGAAACTCAAACGCCAAGGTGTTTTCTGTCAGAATTAGTCATACAGGGCTGGAGAGCTGGAGGGAGGAGAGGTAATCAAGGGAGAATGGATTCTAAAAATCTCACCATCCGATGGTCCTAGAGCATAAGGGAGGGCCAGGGTTAGGAGCCAGAGTTCCAGAAAGAAAAGGAGTAAGGAAGGTGGGGAAGAGACAGGAGAAGGAATATTTAACAAGTGAGGAATTTGCACTTAATGGTGGTGGCCAGGTTCTGAGATTTGCTCCTCCCCTTTTGAAATAAACCTTAAGAATCTACTTCCAGCCAACACTTCTACTTTCCGGAACAGGGCGATGCAAAGGTGGTAACTGATGAAACTTGGACTCTTAAAAGCCTAAATCACTAAGGCAGGGCAAGGATTGGTAGTATAATGCCAGATATTCTTTTAAAATGGGTTTAATTGTATTCAATAGTTAGAAATAAGATTTAAAATCCAAATAGTAGCAATTAAGGAGTGAGAGGGAGAGTGGGTACCCTTGGCGTCATACTTAGGGGCAGAAAGGAGAATTTAGATACACTGAAATAAAATCGTTTACCTAACAGTACCTAGGACATAGCAGGTGCTCAAGATGTGTTTGTTGAATATAAACATATTAGTTATTTGCCTTCTTTATTTATCTTAAAATGTGTGGAACGAGTGGGTGCTATGTGTGGAGTAAAACAGCTGACAGGCTATGGTTTGCAACTTCAAAGGGGCATTGATTTTGTAGATTTGTTTTCCCATTTATAAATTAAATGTAGAATTTAATTATTTAAATTATTGTAGAAAAGTAAGAAAAACAGGCATAAATTTTAAAAAAATTCCCCAAGCACCCAAGGGATAACCATTATTAACATGTTGATACGTATACTTCTAGAATTTTCCCTATGCAAATCTATTAATATATATAGATGTGCGTATATTTAACAAAATGGAATCAAACATGCAACTGTGCTATAAACTACATTTTCATTTAAGACTGTGATTTAGATGTTCTTCCAAGTCAAGATATGTAATCTAAATTACACACTGGCTTTTGGAGTCAGACCAAGTTGGCTCTACTTCTATATCTGCCACTTACTAGATTTTTGAGCTTGAGCAAATCTCATTATTTTTCTGAACTTCAATTTTCTCATCTGCTGATGAAAATGAGAATAATATAATAGTTCTCAGAATTCTTGTGAAAACTAAATGAGATCATATATAATTAGCTCATATGCATCATAAAGAATAGCTATTTCAAAATACATGTGTAATTTATTATATTAATATATTTTGTTGTTTGGAATAGTGCTGCATTGACCATCATTGTACAAACATTTTATAAGCTTGTCATATTTTTTTCTGTAAGATAAATTTTCAGTTGCAGAATTACTTGGTTAAGGAAATGTGCTTATTTTGGTTTTTTGAGAGTACTATACTTAACAATCCCTCGCTCCACCAGTAATTTATGAGAGTACTATTTCCTATACCAAGTCTGATTCTGTGTATATTTTTCATTTTTGCCTCTCTCATAAGTGAAAAATAGTATTTTGTTTTCATTTGTATTCTTTTTCACATGTTTAATGACTTTGGATTTCCTGTTTTTGTAAATTTCCTAGTCCTGCTCTTATCTTTTCCTTATTGATTTATAGGAGCTTCTTTTATATCAAAATATTTAATTATTTGCTATAAAAATTGCAAATAAAGTTTCTTGGCTTGTTTGCTATGCAGTTTTTATATTTTTTTGTTTTTATGAGGTTAAGGTCCATTTTTCCCTTTCTAGTTTTTAATCTTTGAGGTCATGCTTAAAAAGACCTTTCTTATCTCTTAAGACTATATAAATTTTCCCCACTTATATTTTATTTTAGTACTTTTCGGTATGTGTGTATTTTTTTTCCTTACATCAAGTTAAGTGCTCAAAACTAAGTGTGAAACTTGATGAATTTTTACATACGTATACATCTATTTATACAGTGCCCAGATCAAGATATAGACTATTTCCAACACTCTAGCAAGTTCCTTCATGTTCCCACCCAGTGAATACCACTCCTTAAGTTAAATATGGTCCTGATCTCTGTTTCCATAGCTTAGTTTTTCTGGTTTTTGAACACCACACAAAATGATTCTTATTCTGGCCTCTTTTATTCTACATTATGTCTGTGAGACTACTATATTCTTACATGTAGCAGTATATAGTTATTTTTCATTGCTGTGCCATATTCCATGGTGTGATAATACCACAAACTATCTATCAACTCTGACATTGACCGACATTGGATTGTTTATAGCTTGGAACTACTTAGAACTTTCTTCTATGTGTCTTTTCATGGATATAAGTGCTCATTTCTCTTGGAACAGTGCACAGTGTGGGATTCCTGGATTGTAGAATAGGCTTATGTTTGGCTTTAGTAAATACTACCAGACAGATTTCCAAAATGGTAGTGCCAATTTGCACTCTTACTAGCAATGTAGAAAAGGATTCCAGTTGCTCTGCATACTTGCCTTTTACTCTTGGCTGTTCTGATGTATTGCTTAGAGCCTCGACATAATGAATTTGAGAACATAATTTAGTCCATTACAGCCATAGAGGTGAGGACTTATTTCTAGATTCTCAATTCTATTAGTCTATCTACCCA